AAAAATAATTTCCAGTTATGGAATGATAATAATCTATGTAATGTTATCAAAAAATAGGTGTTGGCCATTATGGGCTGCATTTGCCTCTTACAAAACGTGTTGTTTTAACTAATAACTCAGAATTTCTTATTTTCATGATGAGCTGTGTTTCAGGGGAAAACAACAAAAATATTTAGCATAAAATATTTAAATATTTTGAGAGGTGCATTTGGTGCTGCATCTTGAGGTTTCCTGAAGAGCCGGTCAACTGAATAGTACTTAAATTATTTTTTATTATTTAAAACTGCCTGGCCTAAACATCTCTGGTGTGATTAGCGAATAAGCTCTCAGTGGCAGACTTTCCACCTCTGTTTCCAGAGTTTCCACATCAGTTTTCTTTAGACAATTTTTGAACCCTTTAATGTTTTTTTAATTGTGTAATAGTGTGCAGTAAAAACAAAAACAGCAAACCAATTGCTTAAAATAACATTATAATATAATTATCATGAGCTTGGCAGATGACAGGCCGTAGGACAGGTGGTGTTTATTCTGTTCTTTCTAAGAGTTGGCCTGATCTGGATAAAACAGGAAAAATCTTAAAAGCATGATTCTGTATGACTGGCTGCAATTAAAGACATTGGGGTAGTGGCAGGTCCAAAAAAAGGCGCATCTCTTGATTCTTCAGTATTTAGTTCCCTCTCTCACCAAGTTTATTACTTTGTTCTGGAGATAAAAAAGATAAGTCCTATATAACGGTGCCCTTTTGTGTTGTGAAAATGAAGTTAACTGCTTCTGGGATACTTGTTCAGATGACCTTTTAAATATTGTAGATACAGAGAATTAAATCAATGGATCTGTTGTTTCCATCTGCAATAACATTTCTAAGTGCACTGAATGGGCCCAGCTACACTGAGGCCGAGCCTTCTGCCTTTTAAATCCCTGCCAGAGACTGGTTGGTGTCATCAAGCTAGAAGCCTGAACATTATTTAGACGTCATCATTTTTTTCCTGTCTGTAGAGAAATGGTTGACTTCTTTGTGTTCTTCTCGCTTCTCTAATATCTCTATTAATCTCTATTAAAGTTATAAAGATAGAACATCACAGCCCTGGATACCAAGAGGAAAGTGCTCTAATTAAAGATAGATGGGAAGGTAATTCAGTGAAGGTGGCCGTCTGTACCTTATTCTTTCTACTGGACAGTTTTGTTTCGGTTTCCTCTTTTTTCTTCTTTGGCAGTAGGTTGAGTTTTTTTTTAATATATATGTTTAAGGAAACTATGAGTAGTAGCAAATATATTTTATCCTTAGGTATGCATTTTAGAAATACCTCTGTTTTTTGAAAGTGTGGCAAGATAAGAAGTAAAAAGGAGTTAAAACTAAATACCGTATTTTTTCGCTCCATAAGACGCACCTTTCCATAAGACACACCAATTTTTTAGGAGAAGAAAACAGGAAAATATAATCTGTTTTCTTCACTCCATAAGATGTGCAGACTTTCCACCCCCCTGTTTTGTGGGGGGAAAGTGCGTCTTATGGTGCAAAAAATACGGTAGTTTCTGACAACATGCTGCCTGCCTTTATAACAGAACCGTTTATTGGGCCACTGCAGTAGCTGTGCTCACCATTTGCAAGAATAAAATAGTATACAGCAGAACAAATGCAACCTACTATAGTTTTGTTAAATTTTGAATTGCCAAGGCCTCATTCATCTACAATCCAATAAAGTAATCATAGTCCATCTTGCTTCTGAAATTTAATCATTACAGTTTATTTCCTTTAAATGTTGGTATACAGCTGGTATACCTGTGGGTTGAAGCCCCTGACTGTGGAGCTGGACCCTGGAAATTTGGACCCTCACTCTACTGCCCAGGAGAAGACCTGCCGAGATCGCCAGGAATGAGGATTTGTGTGACCTGTCATGGATGTGGCCTGAAATTTAATCATTACAGTTTATTTCCTTTAAATGTTGGTATACAGCTGGTATACCTGAGTAGCTTGGAGCCCCTGACTGTGGAGCTGGGCCCTGGAAATTTGGACCCTCACTGTGCTGCCCAGGAGAAGACCTGCCAAGATTGCCAGGAATGAGGATTGTGTGACCTGTCATGGATGTGGCTCTGAGCAAGCTATGTGGTCTCAGGGTAACCACCAAAAGGAGAGGCTGGTCTTGGGAAGGATGTGCTGAGTCAGATGGCAGTGGGGTGGGTGGGAGAAATACATGTGTTGTGGAATTTGGAGGGTGAAAGGATAAGCCCCATGAAAGGATGGATTATTGTTCTTGGCTCCATGCACAATTAGACAGATTCACAGTATTGTTAGGTGAGGGTTTTTGGAAGTATGCCCATTTTTTAAAAAATCATTGAGTTTTTCAAAGGAAAAGCTTATTTAAAATTGAATTTTGCTTGGATCCTTGGAGAACAGCTGAATTGGCTGGAAACCAGTTTGTCTCATTTCTTCCACAACTAGCAAAAAACCCCAACAACCCCATGCTTCTTGTCTGTTTCATCCAGGCTGCCTCTTAGAGAGACAACATGTGTCCGTAGATTCTGGGCAGTAGCCTCAGTTTAATCCGGTGTGAGGGTTCTAAAGGTGGCTCCTTTCCCCCCCCCCCAAATAAATTAGCAGACATGCGAGGTTTGGAAATTGGAGTAACATTTATTGCATTATTTAACAGGAAATCAGTATCAGCAAAAGCATTCCAAGTTTTATCACCTTCTAACAACAAGGTCAGAGAGGGATTTCCAACCTTCTTCTTTAAATGGGTTTCCCCCAACAGTATCCCAAGGACCCGGCCGGTCACCCGGTGGATCAGAGTTCAGTAGTAGTCCGGGTTCTCCCTCCAGTAGGGGTACTGTGTCTTTGTCCCGGACGTCAACCCAGGCGACGTCTCTGGAGGGCGTAAAGGTCTGCCACAGCCCGATGGGTACCCCCTCATCTGGGTCTCCACCACCCTCTATTCAATTCTTTCCCTCTTTTCCCTCTCCACACGCTCCTTTTCCTCCCTTAATTTCCTCCTCCACTCTTTTTTTTTAAATTGTTTTGATAACTTGGGTTAGTGTACGGGATACAGAAGGTAAGAGGGGGGAAAGGGTTGGTGTGGGGGGGGGAAAGGAGAAACAAAAATATACTAACATCCATTCTATTCATATTGCAATATCAAGATTCACACTGTGTTTTTCTACTATTTTCTGCCTTCCAGATTTTAGTTCACAATTTGATCTATGTTATTCGAGCACTATCTGGTGACTCACTTTCCTCCTCGACTCTTTAGCCTCCGTCTCACCCCAATAAGATGGTCTCGGCATCAGTTCTCTTCGTCTTCTGTAATCTGCCTCCTCTTTGGGTATTTGGAGCCTTTCCCACTTCCCAGTCCATGGGTCTTGCATCCAAACCCATTCCCAACCTGGAGGCAGTTCCCCTTCTCCCCCTTTTATACCCAGCCTCCACCTCTCCCCATCTCCCCGGGGTTTTTGCTCCTTTCCCACTAAGGTTTTCCCACTTTCCTCGTCGGTCAACCTTCGTACTTCTTCCTCCACTGGTTTGGGGTCTGTCTCTGTAGCTGTTGTCTTTTGAGGACAGGCCACAGGTGAAGTTTGTACCCCTGTCTCTACAGAGGGGGGAACGAGACAGCACTCTAGCTAGAACAGGTGTTTTCTCACCTCCAGCCTCACATCTGGCAAGTTATTTTCAGCACTGTGTGGTAGTTCTAACACTTTTAACCTTTTTTTCAGTGTTTATTTGGGGGGGGGACTATGTATTTTTCATTGTCTACATTTGTAATTGCTGTTTGCTTTATTCAGTATCTAAAAGAAATGATGCAAATGGACACACACAATCATATCAAGTCATGGGATTTTGCCTGTGTTCAAATATTACAGTTCGACTGTTTGATTTAAAAGGGTGCCAAGTGACCCGTGAGCAAATCCTTAGCACACTCCTAAGCCTCATATTCCATGAAATTGTGTCAGAGGTTAAACTATTGGTAGATTTCCCAGTTGGAGGGAAACAGTGATGATCTTTGTCTCATGGACCTTCTGGGAGGAGAATCAGCAAGTATCCTTGAGAAGGGAACAAGGAGAACCTTATACTTTATACCAACTATGAATACTGTACAAACCCAGTGTCCTATTAACTGAAAAAGACTTTGCTTTCCCTGCCCTTTATGGCTTCTGATGTAAAATGTCCCAGAACAAGTTCCAAGCCCTTTAACTGGGTAAGAGTGAATGGCAGATTTAGCAAAAGCAAGCAAGAAGAGCTGGGCTCTTGCAAGGCCTTCTCTTTTGATCTTGCTGTTTAGCTCACTTTGCACAGATGACGGGCATGGGAGATGGATGTGCGTGCCACTAAGGGTAGGATGTTCCTGGCAGCACCAGCTGTAGAGGATGAATATTTACCACTGGAAACAGGAGCGACTTATCATCCTAAGTAGTTTTAATGGCTGTAGGTACAAGTGAAAGTACTGACAAGGAACCTCCCTGGATCCATCTAGCGTTCTCCCAGCTAGGACGGATGTAATGGCTGTAGGTACAAGTGAAAGTACTGTACTGACAAGGAACCTCCCCGGATCCCTCTAGCGTTCTTCCCAGCTAGGATGGATATAAACCATCCAGAGTTGTGCCTAGTATTCATCGGCCAGCATACACGTTAAATGAGCCAACCAACCACTGTGAGGCACCTAATACAGAACAAGAGCTCTGATAATTTTAGGTTCTGCTACAGGGTTATAATAACTGCCTCAATATACTCTTCTGGAAAGCAGTCAGATTTTTTGTACTGGAAATGAGAAGTTATATCCGTTGACTTACTCCTGTTGTTTGGATGTATACTTGAGACTTGGCAGTTCTGGACTTTTTGGCCATGCTGGGAATTTTCTTCTACCGTAATACTAGAGGTAGGCGTCTTTGCTATGTGCCTCCAGGAAAACCATGGAGGCAGATGGGATATTGGAAGAAGGGAATGATCTTTGTGGAAACTGTTAACCATAGATATTAATGTATAACTAACACTCTTTTTATCTTTTCAATAGGGCATTCAGAAATTGGCTAGTCAATACTTAAAGAAAGAGTGGCCTGGGATAAAAGCAGACGAGCGAAATGATTTTAGGTAATTTTAACAAATGTGCTCTTTTTCATCCTTTGCTTGGTTTACCTGTTTTCTTACACAACTATGCTCAAGTTCTTTGTTATATATAATTCATACTACATGTTGTCACATCATTTGTTCTTTATATATGGAGTTCCGTGTCTTCCTGCTGCTCGTAATATATTTATTATTTAATGTTATTTTATGTGTTTTATTTATACACCACCTTTCTCCAAATAAGGAGAAATAATACAAATAATATAAATTGATACAAATAATAACTGTGATATGGCGTGGAAGTGTTCCTTCTCGCATTTCCACAGTGAGGCTTGCTGAGAAGTCAGCCTGCTCTTATATGGGTAGATCACACTCAACCAGTTAGCTGTTACAGTAATTTGTTTGCTTTCCGTTCCAATTTTTAAAAAAGGCCTTGATTTGTACTTTGCGAAAGTGGGACGTTGATACATAAACTGGAACCCTGTTGTCTTAGGTTTTAGCACCTTTGTTAACTTTGAAAGTCTCATTTCTAAAATTGTATATGTTGGGGAGAATGTAAACAGAAGTCATGTATCTGGGGGAAATGCTTGCAAAAATGTGTGCAGGGAAACGTGCATACAAAACATATGAGTTCTTTCAGTGAAAATGGATGAACAATTTTGTTTGGTTTTCTTAAAAAATCACAAACTGATTGGAAACGGGGTGCAATAAACTTGTCTTTGAATAAAGATAAATGTTATGAAAAGCAAAATGGGCAGATCTATTCACTTGACCTGCTAGAGTTACAACCTCAGCACTGGTGTATATGGGCTCGTGTAAGTTGTAAGCAAATGCCATTCATTTTCATAAAGTTTATGTTTAAAATTGGGAACAGGATACATAGTTTTATAGGCTCCCTATCGCTTGAAGTTGTATATGAAAAAGGTCTTGCTTTCATTTTCCAGTTTTAAAGTGCACCTTTTGGGAGGCTATTAAATGTTTAAATAACACTTAGAAGTGCTCATCAGGCTGTGTTATGGCTGACCAGAAGGCACTGCTGCTTATATTATATTATTTTATTTTATTTATTTATTCATTTGATTTATACCCCGCCCATCTAGACCAATGGTCTACTCTACAACCCCAATTCTTGTCACAGAAATCAAGTGCTAGGCCTTAGATATTTAAATAGACCTTCAGCGTGTGTCCAGTTAATGGAAGTGTAAGTTCTTCAAAGCTTCAAAGATCATGTTTTCCCCATGCATTATGCAGACTGCACAAAATGGCAATTCTGTGTAAATGCTTAAAAACAGGAAAACTCATTGTTATTTTATTCATGCTGACTTCTGGCCCACACATTCAGTGGTTTTTTCCCTGTATTTTAGGAGCATGTATCCAGTGTGGAAATCATTTCTTGAAGGCACGGTGCAGGTGGCACAGTCCAGACTCAATATCTGTGAAAACTATAAGAATTTAATTTCTGAACCTGCCAGGGCAGTGAAGTGTTTTAAAGAACAGCAGCTGAAAAAGGTATTGTCTTGGGAGATCTCTTTGTGTATCTTAAGTTTATAGAAGCAGTGGTCAGTTACAAAAACTGTACAGTATTTATATGGCACTACTATTGTGAAGAATGCTTGTCCATTTTGTTTACTTAATTTTATGCTGGTGATAAAGAAACTTATTCCTGTCATCGCAGACAGAGTTATGATAACTATTTTGCTCACCTGCCATCTTACTTGAAGCATCTGGTCTGTTCTTTGCTTATGAAATAGCTTGTGATCCTATGTTCTGTGAAGGAGCAAGAGGTGCATGCATCATTGTTCTATTCTAAGTACCCAGATCCTATAATCTTTATTTGCCATCAGACAAGAACTCCAGGAGATGTGGATAGCGGCATCTCAGCTCTTTGTACTTCCATCTTTTTGGTCCTATTTGCAGTCAATATTAAAGAATCGATTGTTCTCCTTTTCTTCCAGTCCTTTTCTATGAAAATGGAATATACCTCCCTACCTTGCTACTTTATGTTCCAAGAATTCAAATACAGGAAATAGGGCAAGTCGTCTGCTGGAGGTAGCTTCCTTTCAAAAAGAATGTGGTGGAACTGGAAAAGGTACAGAAAAGAGTAACGTTAATGACCAAGACCCTGTGGTGGAGTACCTAGCACGTGAAGGAAGGATTTAACCAACTCGGACTATTTATTCGGGAAGAAGGTGTGGAAAGAATCATGGCTAGAGTTGGGCATGAACCAGTTTGTAAAGGTGGCAGCACAGATGCTGTTGCTCCCCTCCCTGGGTCAGTCATCCCCTCGCCAGGCCCAAAGGTGTGGAAAGAATCATGGCTAGAGTTGGGCATGAACCAGTTTGTAAAGGTGGCAGCACAGATGCTGCTGCTCCCCTCCCAGGGTCAGTCATCCCCTCGCCAGGCCCAGCATCCTAGCTTCCTGCACCTCCTCAACTGATCTCCCAGTCCCGGCAAGAGCCCAGGCTTCTCTGCCCCGCCCCCTTGGCTGATCGCCCACTCAGACGAAAGAGCAGGGTAGAGAAATCTGTGCTCTTGCTCGTGACTGGGAGATTAGCCGAGGAGGTGGGAAAAGCAAGCAAGCTGGGCCTGGTGAGGGGCTGATTGGCTGAGGAGGCAGGGGAGGAGAGCAGCAGCACCTTGTGCTGCCGCCTTGACGAACCGGGACGAACTGGTTCATGCCCATCTCTAGTCATGGCTCATGGCCGTCTTGAACCTTGGTGAAAACTGCTGATCCTCAGTCTGAATTCTATGAATTATGTTTTCTGTGATGAAGAACTTGCCTATCCAATGTCACTAGGTAACCTTAAATTCTAGTACTGAGGAAAGAGGGGGAACACAGGGTAATCTAATGAAGTGGGCACTGGGTAGATTCACAGACCAACACAAAGTAGGATTTATAGAATTCAGACACAGAATATGTTGATAGTTTTGTAGTTTACAAGGCTTTGAAGGGGGATTGGACAGATTCACGGAAGATAAAGTCAGTCAATTACTATTAGCCATGAGAAATAAATGGACCCTTTGGAAGTGTTCTGAATATCAGACGCAGTGAGGGAAATTTGTGGCTTTAATCTCTTCCTATAGTCTAGGACATGGTGGCGCTGTGGGTTAAACCGCAGAAGCCTCTGTGCTGCAAGGTCAGAAGAACAGCAGATCTTAAGATCGAATCCACGCAGCGGAGGGAGCTCCCCTCGCTTGTCCCAGCTCCTGCCAACCTAGCCGTTCGAAAGCATGTAAAAATGCGAGTAGATAAATAGGTGCCACCACGGTGGGAAGGTAATGGTGTTCCATGTCTAGTCATGCTAGTTACGTGACCATGGAAACTGTCTACAGACCAACGCTGGCTCTACGGCTTGGAGACGGGGATGAGCACCACGCCCTAGAGTCGGACACAACTGGACTAAATGTCAAGGGGAACATTTACCTTACCTATAGTCTAGGAAGTGCAGCATATGATTTCACCACACACAGTCTCTGTCTCTCTGTGATCTATTTTAGGCATGAAGGGCCTTTTAAAGCCCCATTTTTCTGGGGGCGGGGGGCAGGTCATGCAGATTTCTGCATAGTGCCACCCCTGCTGTATTCAAGTCATTTATTTATTATTTATTTATTTATTTATTTAATTTATATGCCGCCCACTCTACCCAGAGGTCTCTGGGTGGCTTACAATAATTAAAATTCAATACAATAAAATGATTAAAATACAATTAAAATACAATTAAAATACATGCCATTTGTATCTTTGTTGGTATTAAATGTTTGGGTTTGAAAATTAGAGAGATGAGTGGAGGACAAGATACACATCACCTCTTTAACTTGATTGCTTTGTGGAAATCTTTGGGCCAAGGCTAAGAAGCTATAGTTCCAGGGACTTGAAGTAGCTGATGTTGAGATGTTCCCCAGTGCCGTTGTTGTAAGATAATGGACAAAGATGCTTTATTGTTCCCATTGATCAGGTTGATTTTCCTTCTCCTGAAGCCACAAAGTTGTTAACGCTGCCTTGCATGTGCCCTGTAGTAACTGAGAGGAACCTGCTTTGTAAATAAAACGGACGGTGCAGGAATTTTTAAAAATGAAATAAGCATCTTTGGAAGTAGTAGCTTTCCAAATTATGCTAGCGTGGGCTTTGAGTTTAAGGTGTGGTGCCTTTTTAAACCTTTAAGGAATTATTCATGGATCTAAGGGTGGAGCGGAAATCGAGATGATTCAGCCACATCCTGCAAAGGCATCCTGGGCAGCCGTCCAGAAAATCAATACAGAGCCAACTTTGTGCTTTAAGACACAGAGAAGGCTATTCTGGTTGAGGGAGGCAAATGTTACATTTATTAGAGAAATAGTGTAGTGGATAAAGTGCTGCTTGTTAGATCATCTTCTTTGGGGTTGCATTTTAAACTCTGTAGCAATATAATACAGTCAAATACCAGAAACATACTTAGTATGTAAAAAAGACCAATTTAGCACTCTAGGATGGTTGAACACACACCCAACCTAGACTGCTGTACTTTGCTGATAGTTGTACTTTGCAACTTAAATCATTGGCAGATCCGGTTAAGAGTGGAGTAGCGCCAGAAGAAAAGGAGTAGCTCTAAAACTGGGGCAAGATGTAGCAGAGGCAGTTGGGGGCTACAAATGTAAGGTCTGATAGATTAATATGAATCAGACTCTGTGGAAAACCTGTCAACATAACTATCATTGAAGTCTATGCTCCAGCTGCAGATGCTGAAAAAGATGAAAGTGGAAACCTCTGTGTAAGCATCCAGGAGGAAATTGATCATACACCAAAACACAACATGCTTATAAGGTGACTGGAACGCAAAAGCAGGGAACAAAGCAGAACCAAATGTTGGAAAATTTGGTCTAGGGGTCAGAAATGGAGAAGGAGAAGCTATAGTCCCTCTGCAAAAACAAGACCAGGAGGTGATTATGAACTGTTAATATCCAACAATAGACTAAAGCCAAAAAAGAACACTAAAAGAATCCGAATGCCAAAAAATAATTTAAAACAATCCTGATTAATTTAAAGTCCACACTTAAGCTCAAATTGACTGTGAACCAACAGCTGAGACTTCTTCCATCAGAGTTGTACATCGGATACTGGCCTGGATGTATTTATTGCTTATTTCTTTCTTTTACTATTTCTATCCTGTCTTTCTCCCAGAAAGGGACCCAACGCAGGCCTTTTCCATGGACTTAAGCAGTGGCTTCTTAAACAATGCGGCCATTAATTTATAAGTAGTGAATATCTTCATCTTGACCAAGCAGGCACATTAGCATAGCACAGATGAGAGAATCACTCTTTGCCCTGGTCTCAGGCTTTCGCACCAGATATGGAATTGAAACAGATACTGTTAAAAGATTGTTTTTTCAATTTATGAAAAGTTGATTGTCATACAGAGACCAAACACAAACTGAATGGACTTGCTTACTCTTTGGCTAGATAACCATGGGAGCATACAAACTGACTAGAAACATCATTGCATTGCTTGTATTCTGATTAAATATGCTGCTTTTCCAAAAGAGCTAATTCATTCCAGTGTACAATGAATGTAATGTATATGTGTGACTGTGAGAGAGGAATCTCTCTCTCTCTGTATGTGTGTATAGGGGCAGGAATAAATGACTTAAAGAACATTATTGTTATTTGAATTCTGAAAAGAGGAGCCAAGAGATGCTTAACAGCTGTTGTCTTCTTGGACATCCAAACCCAACTTAAGCATGCAGTTTCTATTTATTTTCCTCCTGTTCTAAATTTAGCAACAATGCACGGGGACACTGCTGACTCCCACTTCTAAAAGTCCTTGAAGTATTGAGCTATACAGCCTTTTCAACCCAAGGTCAGGAGACATGAGTTGCATCTTGCAGCTGAGATCATAAACAAGAAATGTCATCTTAGGTTTCAAGTTGGCACTTCTGGAATTTTTTTTAAACGTTGGCAGCCTGTATTTTGCCACAATCTTAGCCAGCCAGCTTAGCACAGTTCACAGATGTAAAAGCAGCTCAGATGCTTCCCCACTGTTAGTACCGCAGTGTGTTTCGATTTCCTGCATTGAACAGATCTGCGTTTTCAGATTTTTTTTTCTAATTTAATTTAAATGAGTTTAGTTGTTCTCCCAGAAGAAACATACTGTATGAAGTTGTCTTACATTGGTTTCGTCCTGTCCAGAATTGCCTGTTTAGCTCTCCAGATCCTCAAAGATCTTTCCCAGATCTAGGATACTTTTAACTGGAGATGCCAGGGGCTGAACCCATGACCGTCTTCCTGCAGAACATGTTCTACAGAAACTATATTTGGCAAGACTTAAAAGTGAAACACGGAGCAGCATTTACCCACCTTTCCACTAATCCTGTGAATGTAACTGTGGCCCCTGCTTGCCCTGTGCTGATGGATGAGTTTCAGTTTCTGCAACCTGATGATGTAGACAAGAACCTTGGAGAGGTGAAGGCTACATCATGTCTGCTGGACCTTTGCCCTTCCTGACTTATAAAAGATTCCAGAAAGGGACTGATCAAGTGCATAGGAAGTGTGTGGTGAATGCCTCCTTGCAACCGGGTAAAATACCAGCATGCTTCAAGGAAGCAGTAGTAAGACCATTGTTGGAATGGCCCTCCTTAGATCCCGCAATACTGAATCATTACCAAAGTGGGTTGTGGCTTCTCAGCTCCAGATTATCTAGATCTATTTCAGGCTTCAGGCCTGGTTATGGCACAGAGATTGCTCTGGTCACCTTGGTGGATGACCTACTCTGGGAACTGGACAACGGGAGTGTGTCCCTCTCAATTTTGCTGGACCTCTCAGTGGCTTTCGATACCATTGACCATGGTATCCTCCTGACCCATCTCTCTGGGATGAAACTTGGAAGCACCTTTTTTTTTTTTTAAACTGTATCCTCCTGACCCATCTCTCTGGGATGAGACTTGGAAGCAGCTTTTCTTTTCTTTTTTTTAAACTATGGCTCCAGTCCTTCCTGGAGGGGAGAACCCAGCTGTTGATGTTGGGAGACTTCTAATCAACACACTGGCCTTTGGTGTCTCTCAGGGATCTGTTTTGTCCCCTATGCTATTTAACATTTACATGAAACCTCCAGGAGAGGTTGTCCAGAGTTTTGAGCTTTGATGTCACCAGTATTCCGATGACACTCAGCTCCAGTCCTTCCTGGAGGGGAGAACCCAGATGTTGATGTTGGGAGACTTCTGATCAACACACTGGCCTTTGGTGTCCCTCGGGGATCTGTTTTGTCTGATGTCAGTAATGAATAAGGGCGAGACACTCAGCTCTATCTCTCCTTGCCATCTACATCTGAGGAAGCTGATTTGGCTCTTGGAACAGTGTCTGATGTCAGTAATGAACTGGATAAGGGCGAATAAACTGAAACTTAAAACAGGACAGAGGTGCTCATGGTCAATTAAAAGGCAGATCAAGGAAGAAGGATTCAGCCTGTGCTGGATGGAGTTACACCCCCTCTGTAAACACAGGTACGCAGCTTGGGAGCGCTCCTGGATTTGTCTCTGAGCCTGGATGCCCATGTTTCAGCGGTAGCAAGGAGAGCTTTTGCACAGTTGAAACGGATGCGCCAGCTACATCTGTTTCTGGAGAGATCTTATCTGGCCAATGTGACACATGCCCTAGTTCCTTCCCAGCTGGATTAATATAACACACACTCCATGGGGTTCCCTCTGCATAATGTCCAGAAACATCAGTGGGTCCAAAACATGACACTCAGATTGGTGACTGGATCTGGTTACAGGGATCACATAACCTCCCAGCTACAGCAGCTCCACTGGCTGCTGATCCATTTCCAGGCAGAATTCAAAGTAGTGGTTCTAAGCAGTAATGCCCTAAATGTCTTCAAGCTATCTCAAGGACTGCATCTCCCTTTCTGCTGGAGTGTTAAGACAGCCAGGAGAGGCCTTTCTCTCAGCCCTGCCATTTTTACAGATGTGTTTGGTGGGGATACAGGAGAAGACCTTCTTTATGGCTCCTCCCAGACCATGGAACTCCTTCCCACTGGAGGCCAAGTGGGCTCCATCTTAGCTGTCCTTCCATAAGCAAGTGGAGACCTTTCTTTTCAGGCAAGCTTTCTCTGAGTGACTGGCTTCTCATAGTGGGGTTTTTTAATAGATGGTTGTCCCTTACTGCTTTTGCTGTGTTTTAGTGTTTATGTTTTTAGTATGGTATTTGTTTGATCCTTTTTGTATTTCTATATGTATTGTTGTTTTAAATACTCTATTTTAATGATGTTAGCTGCCTTGGGTCCTTTTTAAGGAGAAAGGTGGGTTAAATTCATTACATACAGATAATCCTGTCCTCAGCATTTTGGCTGTTTCCTTGTTTATCAACTTGTAAAGATATTAAGCCTTTTTGCAGTTTATTGAGGAATAAAATGTTCTGGATTTGCAAGGGAGAAATGAAACGCTTTGAAACTGCGATAAAAATAGTTAAACATGGTAGATGTCTTTTAAAAAGAGTTTTCAGACAGCATTAATTGAAATAAGTGTCACGGGAAACCATTCAAGAGTGGGACACTGTAAATCTGCCTATAATCGACAAGTTTATATTCCACATTGTTCCTCCCACCAAAATACCTGCTGTAGATCCATGCTTATGTAATTCAACAGGGATTTAAATCTTCATCCTTGCAGTAGTAGCTGTATAGGCTGTGGTTCTTGGCTTTTACCTGTTGTGGAATTTTAAGCAGCCCCTCTCTCTACAGCTCACAAAAAGTGGCAAGCTTTGTATTTCAGTAGATAGGGCTCATTAGGCATCCTTCAGTCTCAAAGGACTATGGTAATGTGCTCTGAAGAGAGGACTTGGAACAGCTTCTAGTGCGGCTGAGAAGGCCAATTCGAGAGGGATCATCCCTTCCACACTGAATATAAATACAATCTGTCCCCTCTCCAGCTCCCTGATTTTGTTGCTTTCGGGACTGCCTCTTTGCCTCGGCCTGCTGGACAAGGGCCTCTACAAAATGGGAGAGGCTGTGATGCACCGCCTGCAGATCTCCTTGTATCGCAGCTGGGGTCTCCCTCTGGGGCTCTTTCTCCATCCAGGAGATCTTTTGGAATCCGACCATCAGCCATTCTCATGACATGCCCGAGCCACAAACGTTCCTGTCTCTGTAAACCCCTTTTGTTTGCACTATTGAAATGAATAATGATTCTCGTTTATTGGCTGAACAGGTTCCTGCACTTCATAGCCTCCTCTGAGGGGCAATCACTCTAGAGGCAGTGGCCTAGCTTCCCTTTTCCACGTCCTCTGGGTACTGCCTCTGGGGGGTGGCTGCTGGGGGAGGCGAAGCTTTGAAGCACCAAACACCTGTTCGACCAATTAAACGAACTGGTACAAACCAGCACTTCACACCTATCTCTACAAACAAACTTACCTTAGCTTGTCCAGAATAACAATATCTATTATTTATAAGAACAGCATGTTTATTTTTTAAATTCGATACAGTAATGGTGACAATTGTGCTTCATTGAAAAACAAACAAATATCAATTCACCTTTCCTATTTCTTTTTTCTCCCCTTAATTCAGTGTGTGGAGCAATTGACCAGAATCCAGGCTGAATTACAAGAGACTGTGAAGGATTTAGCCAAGGGCAAGAAGAAATACTTTGAAACAGAGCAGATGGCTCACGCTGTCCGTGAAAAGGCTGATATCGAGGCCAAGTATGTTCCTGCATGTCTGCAATTTGTGCATGTAAATTGCTTTAAACAGCTTTGTGTAGCACATCTCGCTTGACCATTAGTAATGTAATCAAAAGTCATAAACAGGCATTGGCCCTGGTCATCTGCAAAAGCATCTCCAGGTTGCTAGGGATTTTCTCCATTTCTCCAGTGCTACCTCATTGTTATTTTCCAAAGCATTCATGTTAAGCTCTTTCAGAGAATTAACTCTCTAAATGTAATACTTGCTCAAGGAATCTGCTGATCTTTTTTGTAACTTTCTATTACAGATCTAAGCTCAGTCTTTTTCAGTCAAGAATAAGCTTACAGAAAGCAAGTGTAAAGGTGAGAATTTTTTCTAAAGGTTGCATGGTATAATTTTAGGGAGCGGTTGCATCTAGGAAATGAGTCACAGATGTCCAGAAAGCAGAGCCTCATAAAACTAGGATGAACTAGCTTATTTTCCTTTCTGACTTCAGAACCCAGACCTGTGCATGCTTCACAAACTTGGGAATTATTTTTGTCTTGGTTTGGAAACAACATGGTTGCCCTTGTTCCAGAAAAAGAAATGCTCATGTAACACCAGCGCTTCCTGTCTTCTGGGTTCAGAGAGAAGCAGTTTGATAGCACTGGGGTTTGGCTGGTTCTTAGTCTTTAGTCTTTCTTTGTTTAATTTTCTTTACCCTAAATGGCCAAGTGTCTTGTCCATGGCAGAAGAAAACCTGCACCGCCACACTTCCATGCGCTAAATGTGTCATGTTAGAGAAATATGTTGTGTTCTTTGACCTCGGCTTCCTACCTAAGGCCTAAATCGAGGGCAGTCCTTTTGGTGGCACCTCCACTCTTGGCCGTTCTCCCTTGTGGTCCTCAGTAGCCCCTCCAGCCCTCCAGAACATCTGTTGAGGGCATTTGGAGGGCTGCAGAAGACCCACAGATTCCGCACCCACCTCCCACACCCACTTCTTGGAGAAGCTTATTGGTGCATGTTGGTTCATCCTGTGTGTTTATGTTGCCTTTATCCAGATCTTACCCATTATTCCATAAAACATTTTAGGCCTTTCAAGGGTAGTGTGATGCACTGTGGTCATATGGCAACAGAATCCCAATTAAAATTTACCCATACCGTTTTCTTCAATGTATTTGGAACCCATCATAGTACTGTTTGCTCTGTTGTTATTGTCATTATATAGTGGTAGTAGTAAACAGCAGTGAATTTTATTAAAAGATGGTCCACCCAACTGGGCACCCATCTCATGCCATAAAACAAATGAAAGTACATGGCTTTGGAAATATGAACCAGGTTGTCAAACCTCATCTCCTTATTAAAACATTGATTCATAGTGTTAAGCTTTCCTGACTTAAATTACTGCTCATTACTTCTTTGTCATCTGATTTTTCTTCTGTTGTTACAGTTAAAAGCACGACGCTCAGAGTGTAATTCTAAAGCTACTCATGCGCGGAATGATTACCTTCTTACCTTAGCAGCTGCAAATGCACACCAAGACCGCTACTATCAGACAGACTTAGTGAACATTATGAAGGTAATGCCAGAAAGTTTTGTTACAAAAAAAAACTTGTATTTTCCCAGTCGTTAACCGGTTTATTTAAAGTGTAATTTAAATAATGTCACAAAGCACTGTGATGGATTTGCCTGAGTTGTTCTGTGTGCAAAGAGATCTTACTGGAGTCTTTTGTTCCGTGGGGAGACATGCTGGTAAATCTGTCAATTTAAACATCAGATTGTGCCAGACTAATTTTACAGAAGCTAATTTTATTTAGTAATTTTATCACTAAACTAATTTTATTCAAGCCTTGGTGTTTGAATTGAAAAAGCATAGTTTGTGATCAGCCAGCAAACCAGAATTAGAAACCTTTGCTTGAGGTGGATTTGCATACCGTAGTATGCATGATGACTGAATTAATAAACCGTATTTACAGTGCCTGCTTTGTCTCCAGAGGCTGCTGCACATTAGAGACAAGTGTGATTGTCTCTATGATTTACTAGAGTTGTTTGCCTGCTTTTGCTTTCTGAAGTGACAGAAAGCAAAAGCAGGCAAACAATTCTAGTAAACCATAGTTTCCTTACTTTATGTTTCAAAGCTCAAATTTGGATTCAAGGCTGATCTGGATTTTAAAAACATATATCTGGCACACAATATGGTTTGGAAATGAAACATTTGCTGAAAGTTGAACTCCTGAATATAGATTGTTTTGTGCCCTGGATCTAAAGAACTATCATGCAACTGGTATTATTTGCTTTTGCATTTGTGTTTTATCAAATTGTCCACTACATTGCTTGCAGTTTCCAGTGGTAAATTTGTTTTTAAATCTGAGGGTCAGATGCACTGAGAAAGATGAGCGTATCAAGCTGACTAAAGCTATGTTTGGTGAATCATATATATGGATATATTTTGCCAGAACTGTCTGTGAAACAGCCATGTGTGGAATTCAGTGAATGTATTACACTTTTTTTCATAGATAGCTTTCCTGTCTTCTAAGATTTCCTTTTTCCTTCCCAGCCATGCATTCGTTATGAGATTGAGGCTATTTCTTGAAACATAATGGGAACCATTTCAATCAGGCAATCATATCACCTAAACTGTGCTTTTCTGTATGTAATCTGAGACCAGGATTGGATCATTCTTTTTCACAGCATATCAGCAACCTTATTGTCAAGGCTCACATTTTCTTGAACTCACATATTATTATTGACTACATACTGTTCTATTAATTGCTCATCTAGAGGTATATTTAGTACATTTTGCTGGATTTATACAATTATCTGCAGAAAACATAAGCTGAGAGCACAGGATGGAAAAGGAGATGTCAGCTTTATTCTGAAGACACTGCAAATCAGGGCTCTTGAAAGCTCATTCTGAGTATCAAGTTACTAATCCTACCATCTCTCTCTCTCTTTCTCTCTCTCTGTTTACTGCATTTATATACTGAATATGGATATGATGGAAGTAAATTACTATGTCATGGTATCTTGGTCTCCATGGCTGTCCCAGTTCCGATGTAATTTTTGGGGGTGGGGGTGGTAGTCATTTAAGAGGCAGGGTACTTTTCCAGAAAAGTGACATTAAATTGATTTTTAGATCATCTTCCCAGATTGCATTAATAATTAAAAGACCATTTTTGAAAGTACACCGAACAGCCTTCTGTCTGGTGATTTCAGACAGCACCCGTCTCATGTTTCATGCGCTTTGAGCCGAAGTAGGGATGCTCATGGCTTCTGTTTGAGTGTCATTAAAATGCGTGTGGATTGTGAACAAGTAAGCCTGTGTTAAGATGGGTGGTCCTTTTGCAGTGCCATTGTGCCTTCAGCATCTAAGTTATCAGGGAAGGGAAGGTAGCGGTTGTCAATGAGGATATCATCATTATAGAATGGAAAAAATGTTGTCACACAGCAGTCCAGTACAACCCAAATGTTCCAGAAAGAACGGTTAAGCTGTCAATAGCTACTAGCTGTGTTGGGTATACACAACCTTCGGAATCAGATATATAGGACATGTGGGTTAAAGGCAAATCTCAGCTATGGGGATTTATGTTCTGACATAGAGATGTTAACAATGGTTTTATTTAAGATATTTTTACCCTGACTTTCTCCTTTAAAAGGACCTGAGGTGGCTCACATCATTAAAAGACAGTGTTTAATGCTAACAGTGGTGAGTGTACAAATACAAAAGGATCAAACAAGAACCATGGAGAGGGGTGGAAAAAACCTTAGCAGCACCAAAATACATTCCAAGCAGTCAGGTACAGACGTCTATGTCATGTGCTGGACGGAGCAGAGGAAGGAGACCTCTTACAAAAGGGAAATCTGGTGGGTCCTTGATCGTCAGCTGTGGGTGGGGCATAGGCTCACACAGGTGCAGTCTGCGCTATTTTTCTCTTTCGCAGGACCCCACGCAACCACAGTCCCAAGCAGATCCACGTTTATGATTGCTGTTCCCGAGTTCTGATTCATGTGGTTTTTTTCCCCAATATAAATTCAGAATGCTTTGTGTTGTCCCTACGTTTGAAAACATTCCAGAAAGCTATAGTTGCCTTTCTCATTGTGCTTTCCCGGGAAGGTGGCTACTTTTGATCCGAAAGATCAGTTCTATGGGAAGAACCATGCATGCCCTTTGCTCAGTCTAGATTCATTCTGCAAAACTTACCCACATTGTTTAATGTTTTATGTAAATTCTTTAGTTTTCTAGCCCCAAACTACTGTCAAAAGCATGGATGTAAGCTCTTTTTTGCATTGTACAGTTTTTAGTTACAATTATTTGATTTGTGTTTCTCTTTTGCATCGCTCTGTAATTTTTATACATTCTGTCTCCCATCAGATTATTTTGTGTGCTGTGTGGTTCTTACATATTGGATGGCAGCTGCCTACGGAAATCCTTAGCAGTATGCTTGTTTGATGCGTGGCTTGCTTTACTGGGATTTATCCAGCAGTTATAAGTGTGGATTGCTGCTGACTTCAGGTTTTTGGAGGAGATACCTCTGTTGGTGGGTCTGTCATTGCTGTGACATTACCTTTAGACAGATTGAGTTGCAGGGTTTTTTTTATTGTAAAATGACACATCCCAGAGGACCTTTGATTGAACATGTTAGCTTTCAGTTAAGGAATCAAAACTCCTCACCTCATGGTTGCATTGAAAAGCTGGAAACGTTGTTCTTAATTGCTGCTAAAAGTGAGAACAATCAATCTTGGTGGATCTTTTGCTGGTAGTCATCATCCTGGCACAACTACTTGTCTCTATGGCTCAATCCTGCTTTTTTGCCTATATAAATCTGTTCATCTTTAGCTGCCAGTTAGGCTGTTTAATTGAAGTATGTCTTAGTGCAGAAGGTGAAGTCCCAGTCCTGTAATTCCATATTGTAAGAGAGCAAAGGATATGTTTATGTGCACAAATTTTGTCTTTTCAAACTGTCCTTTCTGGCAGTTAGTTTCCAAACATGATTTCAGTTCCTAAGATCCATGTTGTCTGTTTGATTTTGATTTTTGATTTTTGCCCATTCTGTTCAACATTCAAATCCATACATCCAGTCTATTCTCCATAGTGGATCAGCCTCTAGAGGCGAATTGATTGGTAGCATGGCAGTTTCTAGACTGGAGAAATCTTTGAAACAAAACTACTTACGATTCTGGTTTGTACATTAATTGCAAGCCATGGCGTATCAGTTCAGATTTCATACCAAACCTCCTTAAGTTTCCTTACCCAAAATTCAGCATAATAGGATTTAAGCAGAGCCTCTTTTTCTTCCTGATGTTTCTCTTTTCCTCCCTAGCCAGAAACAGAGGTTGTTGCTTAGGAGTTCCAGAAGATCTCTAATTAGCCACTGTGGGTGACAAGAGGTGAAATGTATAGGCCTTTGATCTAATCTCATCCAGCAGGGATTTTCTTATGTTGGTGGAAACGTCCTGAGGCTTTTAGGCAATGGGTTGCCAACTGAGAGGAACAAGCTAAGTATCAGATTAAAGGGGCCCATAAGTGGGTCATTTTCTTCAAAGATAGGACACAGGATTCTCATCCCCAATGCATACCACCACTATTGTGGAGATCTTTATCAACCTCCTGGGTAATTTTAGGAGGCTTAAACCTTATCCTCATTTTATATAAAAGCCTGTGGGTGGAGGAAACCATCATCCATTCCAGGTGAACATGATTTTGTAGAATAGTGACCTTGGAAGTTCCAACAAGGCCATCAAGTCCAGCCCCCTGCTTGATGCAGGAATACAAATCAAGGGATATCTGCCGGGTACTTGTCCAATTTTCTCTTGAGCGCCTCCCGTGTTGGAGCGCTCACCACCTCTTGAGGTCATGGGTTCCACTGTCGTACTACTCTAACAGTTAGGAAGTTTTTCCTGATATTCATCCAAATTCTGGGTTCCTTTATTTTGAGCCTGTTGTTTTGTGTCCTGCGCTCTAGGACAATCAAGAACAGATATAGGAAGTTTTTCCTGATATTCATCCAAATTCTGGGTTCCTTTATTTTGAGCCTGTTGTTTTGTGTCCTGCGCTCTAGGACAATCAAGAACAGATACCGCCCCTCCTCTGCATGACAGCCTTTCAAATACAGTGGTGCCTTGCTTAATGGTCGCCCCGTTTAACAACGAAATCGCATAGCGATTAACTTTTTGCAATCACTTTGCGATGTTCCCTATGGGGAAAAATCGCTTTGCGATCATTGGTACCGTGTTTCGCTTACCGATCATCGCAAAGCGATTATTTTTTAACAGCTGATTGGCGGTTCCAAAATGGCTGCCGGGTAAAAAAATGGCTACCCGCTGTTTTCTGGGACAGATTCCTCACTTACCGGGCAGCGAAAATGGCCGCTGTATGGAGGATTTTCGCTTAAAGGTGAGTCTGAAGCCCATAGGAACGCATTGAAGGGGTTTCAATGCTTCCTTTAATTTGAGCCCATTGTTACGTGTCCTGCGCTCTGGGATGATCAAGAATCGATCCCCCCCTCCTCTGCATGACAACCTTTCAAATATTTGAAAAGTGTTATCCTTTCACATACAGCTGGGGAAGTGAATATGGCA